TTGGCTGCCATGGTGGTTGCTTGCGATTTCCGGCAACTCATACACACCTACACTCGACTGGGTGCATTCATTTGCCGCTATAAGTTGAGTAAATACCAAATACACGCAGTGACACACACACACACACAGCCACAAACCTTACGGTGGTTGATGGCAGCCAAAGGCTCAATGATAGGGGAAACGTCTAGAGCTAAGATGACGACAAGACTCGAGAAATGACAAGAGAAACGAAAGGAGTCATTACCGGCGGAAATAGATTCAGTGACGACCACGAACACACCAATCTTCGTGGTCACCTGCGACGACAGTGCACACGTTTGGCTTCGAGCTTCTGGCTTCTCACTATGCCTCCGACAACAATGCATGTTGTGGCAGTGGGCAACATCGAGGCGGCAGGTGGCCCTGCCTGATCAGAACAGTGGACGAAGGGGGGAAGGCGGCGGCTGAGCATCATGTATGGCGGCTGGAAGATAAGGTTAGGGTTTGGGGAGTAATAAGGTTACGGGTTTGATCCACCGCCCATTCTCACAAGATTGCCATATTAACGCTTTTAATCCCTCCTCCCTTTATTCTTTTCAAATAACATCCGAAATTTACCATATAGCCCCCATCACTCCAAAGTTCGTTCAATTTGAGTCCAAAACTTACCTAATAACCCCTATCTTCAGAAATCCTTTCATCATAGGTCCCGAAATTACCAATCAGCCCCTTAAGCCTTCAAATCTTTTCAAATTAAATCCATAGCTTACACATTTAACCCTAAAATCCAAAATTATATCAATTAGCTCCCTAATACCAACACTCCGCTAAATATTATTTACTTTAGGATTATTATTCATATTAACCCTTATCTATTTATTTATTTAATATACAGGATGTTACACTACCCAACCCACTACGCAATGCCCCGTAAAATTCAATAAATCATCATATTAAGCACACAATTTCATACAATCAATTAATATAATCATATTCACCAAATTCATCAACAGTTCACCAAAGCATAGCCAACTATCATCATTTCAATTAAATATATGTTAGCATGCCATAAACATCATAATCATCGTAATGGGGTCAAATATCAATTTAGACCTTAAGCATGACAACTAGAAAATAAGCATATCATACTCAAATATAAACCAATGGCTAAGTTATACATAAATTGAATCAATGATTCATGTATAAAATGTACTTTTTGACTTATGCACATTTAGTGAGTAAAATTACTAACTCACCTTGGCCTTGATGAATCCTTTAATAACTTAGAGTTTTGAGCTCCCTTAAAGATGTCAAGACCTCACTTAAATCACATATATAATCAAGTTACTAATTGCATTTAAATTCTATAAGTTTATCGCATCATATTTTAACTTTATATTGTATTTTTTATAATTCCATCCATGACCCATGTTCAGTGTTTTGATCATAAAACAAAATCTACAACTCCAAACGGGATGATTCAGGACTTTCTGGAAATTAAACTCGGTTTCCTACAACTTTTTTCTTTTGGTTATTTTCTCTAAAACATATCATAATTGCCTCTACAGGCCTCACAAGACAGGTCAAAATTGTTGTGCAAATTTCCAACTTTTACCAAAAATCACCAGCTGCTTTATGACTTTTGACAAAGGACTAAAGCCACTAAATTTCATACATAATATGATTGAATGAAGGTACTAGGACATATTTTAAGTACTTAATGAAAAGACGAATGATTTGACAGAACATGGAAGTGAATATTATACTCTCAATCACACATCAATCTCATATAAGAACTCGTTAGCCTACATAATAAGATATATGGGCTGAATTTTAACCAACATTAGAGTGTGTGGTCGTTGCAGAAGACGAAGAAGAAGGTGGAGGAGGGGTTGTTACAGCCGCCTGCTCCATATGGTAGAGATTTTTTTTTTTATTTTTTTTTATTTTTTTTATTCCTTTGTATAATTTGAGTTTGGATGGAAGGCTATAAGAGTGTAAATCAATACTAGTATGGACATTCTTACTTCAAATTAGAGTTGCATATGTTATTTAGACTTAATTTAGCGTTTCTTGTCTTTTTGGGGATTTAATACACCCATCGTGTTAAAACTTAAAAGTAGAGCTGCGTATTTTATTTAAATAACAATCTTACTTCAAATTAATATATATTTCGTAATACTAGAAAAGAACTAACTGCTTTTGCTTTCTTTATGTTTACTCTGCCATACAATATGTTACAGCCATACAATATCAGGAGGCCAGGTGTATCCTGCCTAGGTGAATTTTTAATTGCATTTGGTATTTGACAATTAGAATCTTGGAATAATGTTATTCATTTATGTGAAGGTTGATGTGGTATGAACAATTTATGTATGTTGTTCATTCGAAATTGAAAGTTGTTTTGATGCACACCAAGCGATCGCTGAAATGCTTCAACTGAATGATATTTCTCCGTTTTTGTACTCTGTTAGAATTCCTCGAATTAATATAAGTATTGGTAAATGAATTCCAATTTCTATCAGAATGGAATCACGAATTCCAATTACATTGGAATGAAATATGGATATTTTCTCACTAACTTATTCACTGGATTTGTTTCTACAGAAGCTGATGCTTGAAGAATGGACCACTAAATTTGAACGAAGCCTCTTAGCAACATTATTCTTTTAGAATGTATTAGTGTCTTTGTTAGATTTAGATTTTTTTTTTTTTTTTTTTTTTTTTTTTTTTTTTTTAAGATTTGAAAGTGTTTTTAGTTTTTTTTTTTCTTTAACAATAAATGTAATTTTTTAGCAAATGTTACATGTATTCTACAAGAATTAATGTAATTTTTGTTTTAATTCTTCAATTGATGGTTCGAGAATTTTGTTATTCTACAATAAATTTTTAAAATCATGATCAAGAAATATGTTCAAGAATATTTTTATTATTTTATGGTTTAGGAATATTTTTGTTTTCGAACATACTCAAACATATTCTGTCAAAATATCCGAATTAAAACCTTATAATTCGTAAAATCGGATTTTTAAAATTAATAGAATCTATGATCCCTAAAATATGCAACTTTCCTTTATTAAATCTATGTTAATTGACTAAAATACCCTTCTAGTTAAATTAGATGATATTTTTCAATTATATTTAGTTTAATAATATGTATTAATCACTTTCTTAAAATAAGTAAAATGATTGGCACATATTTATGCATACAACAACATAATAATTACTTTGAATATAATAACCTAAGCCCATATATATGATAAATTGAATATCCTCCTATTTTTCTTCATAATTATCTTGCTACCCATTTGAAATGATGACAAGTATCCTAAAATATCATTAGGTTTATCTAAATATAACACTTGTCAGAATTTCATAAGGGTAAGAAGATAAATAAAAAGAAAAGGTATGATGATATTTCATTTTTTTTTCTTTCTCTCTCTCTCTTTCTTTCTCTCTCTCTCTCTCTCTCTCTCTCTCTATATATATATATATATATATATATATATATATATATATATATATAATTCTACTTTGTTTTTGTTTTTTTTCAAAAATAGTTATACGAAAAAAATGTAATTAAATAGGCAATAAATGAAGAAGCACTGACATATAAATGAATGAGTTTGTTCATGTTCGTTTAATAAATAAACGAACAAGCGGTGTTTGTTTATCTTCGTGTTCGTTTGTTTAAGTTAGTTGAACAAATAAATGAACACGAACAGATAAACGAAAAATATTTTCTTTTTTGCGTTTGTCGTTTAACATATTATCTTGTTCATATTCATTCATTTATGTTCGTGAATTTATTAAAAGAATATAAACGAATAAAAATAAACAAACACAATTGAACATATATGAACATAAACAAACATATAATATGGTAATATAATAATTTTTTTTGAATATAAATGCATATAAATAAATTAAACAAACGAACATAAATGAACGTAAACGAACGTTCATGAACGTAAATTAACGAATGAAACCATTATTAATGTTCGTTCATTTAACTAAATGAACAATAATTTTTTTCATGTGCGGGTTATTGTTTTAATTTGTTTATTCGAAAAAAGGTCAAAAAATCATTATATAATTCAAACGATAAAACGTCAAAAAAAAAATAAAAATAAAGCAACAAACATTAAAAAATATATTTAAATAAAACGTCAAAAATATTAAAGATTTTTATACCACAAAACAAAAGATAAATAAATAAAACAAAAAATAAATAATAATAATAATAATAATAATAATAATAATAATAATAATATGATTTTATATAACTTAGATAATTGATTTAAAAATATAAACAATTTTATAAATAATTTATATTAATTCTATTAAAATAAATATAAAAAAACAATATAATAATAATAATAATAATAATAATAATAATAAATTGTTAAAAAAAAGGAAGGAAAGGGTAATTTGGTCTTATTATATGGACCAGGGATCTGCAATGTAATTTTCATAAACTATAAGGATGTAACTTATTAAATTTTAAATTCAAAGACCAAAAATGTGAATTCAACTAAAACACAAGGACCATTTCTTTAATTTACTCTATTTTAAAACTACAATAAAGTTCACGTTTTTACAAATTTGACCTAAACGAAACTAGATCCATAAAGAAAACAGTAAGTGAAGTTTATAAACTCAACTGAGCAGGTAGGAATAAAAAGAAAAGCATCGCAGCTGATATCATCACGTCATTCACGTGTTTATCGATCAATCAATGAAAATTGAAATTCTTCAAAAAAAGAAAGATTTGGAATCATTGGACATGTGTAATTTTACATCCCAGAACTGCCTCTCAGATGAATATGTCAAAGATAAAAGAGACCCACGAATCCACGATTGCCTACTTTCGATCCAAATCAGGAAAAGAAAAAAGAAAATTCCAACAACCACATTTTTTGCCATTTTTGGGTTTCCTACTAGTGCAAGTTTTCAATCAAACTCGATTTGTATCATTAAATTTACCCACACTCACAGAAACACTGATCTTGGGGGTTCCCATGGGATTTTTGAAGAGCGAGGAGGAGCTAGAAGTGATCGGAGAAGACTCAAAAGATGTTATTCTATATGTTAATGGAGTCCGTAAAGTGCTCCCTGATGGTTTAGCCCACTTAACTCTGCTCGAGTATCTTAGAGGTAAAAGAAAACACATAAACTGAATCTTTTTCTTTCTTTTCGAATCTGATTAAACTATTTTACATTTTCTAAAATGATGCTGAATGTTCTGATAGAAAAAGGATTTGGAAATTTCTATCTGATGTTGCAAGTTGGCTCTAGATGTTAAAGTTCCCAACTTCGTTTTGGTGTTATGTTTGTATCAGCTGTGAAACTTCTGAACTCTTTACTTTTGTATTGTTGTCCCTGTTGTCCACATATAGATGTAGGTTTAACAGGAACGAAGCTAGGCTGTGGTGAAGGAGGTTGTGGGGCATGCACTGTCATGGTTTCTTACTTGGATCAAAATTCAAAAAAATGCGTGTGAGTTTCTCTCCTTCACTCCCACTTTTTTTTTTTTTTTCCTATTTTCTTTCAAATACATACCCGGCCCAGAGCTCATGCTAAGTGCCTAAGTGTGCGGCCGGTTTCAGCTTTTATTTACTTTTATATATATATATATATATATATATATATATATATATATATATATATATATATATATATATATATCCGTGAAAACCACCATAGGTATATTTAAAATTTTTAAATAGATAAAAAATAATAAATGTAAAAAAACAATATATTGTCCATTGTAAGTACTTATGAATTAATATGTTAAGAAAAATAAATATGATTTTGTATTTTCAAATTTTGAATTGAATTTGATTTGTTACAAAAAAAAAAAATCATAGAAAAATTCCACGTGTCAAAGAGATATTTTTAAAAACTGACACATGTCATTTTTAAGTTTCATTTATTAGAAGAGATAGATTTTAGAGAAATTAAATATCCTCCAATTTTTTCCCTAATTATCTTCCTATTCATTTGAAATGATATCAGGTGTCCAAAATATAATTAATTTTATCAAAATATGACACATATCATCATTTCATATTGGTAGGAAGTTGTTATACTATATATACTTTAAGTTTGAGAATTAAAACAAGTTGTTAGTTTGTCGGCTGATGCCTCTTAAAGAAAACACACGGGTTCAAAACATAGGTGCAAAAGCTCTTTTTTTTAGCCGTTTCTTGGAAGAAGTCAAGAATCCCACATTTATATTAGCTTACCCTTATATCTATTGTAATTTAATGTAATTTTATTTTCTTCGTAGTTAATCGAACCGAACTCGAAAGTGTCAATTACTTTATTCAGATCAAATTCAAGCTTGAAATTAAGGCTCAAGTCAAGCTTGATTCGAGTTTCAAGCTCGAGTTATTTAGTCAAATCGAGTTTCGAGCTTAGCAGTGCTCAATTCAATTACACCTCTATTTCAGTCTTTGCATAGCGTCCCTAAAATCAATAGACCAACCAACCCTCTTCAAATATGATCAAAGATTCAAGTCATATCTAATTATGTATTTTTTGTTCTTCAGGCACCATGCAATCAATGCTTGCTTGGCTCCATTGTATTTTGTTGAAGGAATGCATGTAATCACGGTGGAAGGTCTAGGCAATCGCAAATTTGGTTTGCATCCAATTCAGGTAACCATCCTTTGGTTCCTTATGTTTTTTCAAAACTTAAATCTATATTAATAAATAAAAATAATTTTTATGCCATATGTCAGTCATATTTATTTTGCCATATATCATTTTCTTGATTATTTAAAAAAAAATTTCATTTCATTTTATGGTTTTTATTCATTTTTTAAAATTTTATATAATATTTAAATATAATAATTGTAATAATAAATGTGTATAAATTTCATTAATGCAGCTTTCTTTTTAATTTTAAAATTCTTAAATTAAAGTTGAATTATTTCCTTTGTTTATTTTTATGAAAATTATTTATTTAAGTTAAAAAAAAAAAATAAGTACTTCAATTGCAATAAATCAAATTTTTTCCAATTTCCTTATAAATTCAATCTGATAAATGGTTAATATTTAACTTTTTTTTGAAAAACCCGTATACGGCTTTCAAAAATATTTTAAAATATATACAGGAATTGTTAGCACGTAATCACGGCTCACAATGTGGATTTTGCACACCTGGATTCATCATGTCCATGTACGCGCTGTTAAGGTCTAGCAAAACCCCACCTACTGAAGAGCAAATTGAAGAGAGCATTGGAGGAAATTTATGTCGATGCACTGGTTATCGACCTATTCTCGATGCATTTCGTGTCTTTTCCAAGACTAATGACTTATTATACACGAACAATTCTGTTTCATCACAAACAGATGGTGACTTTGTTTGCCCTTCAACTGGTAAACCGTGTTCTTGTGGATCAAAAACTATCAAAAAAGGTGATATTTGCCACGATTATAAACCTGTTTCTTATAACGAAATTGATGGAAGTTCATACACAAACAAAGAAATCATATTCCCACCTCAACTTTTAATGAGGAAACCAAGTTGTCTAAGCTTGAATGGTTTTAATGGGATCAAATGGCATAGGCCATTGGAGCTAAAACATGTTTTAGAGTTAAAATCAAGATTCCCTGATGCAAAATTAGTTGTGGGAAATACGGAGGTCGGAATCGAAACTAGGTTAAAAAAAATTCATTACCCGATTTTCGTATCCGTGACCCATGTACCTGAACTTAATATTTTGACCATTAATGATGATGGAATGGAGATAGGAGCTGCTGTTAGGCTTTCAGAGCTTCAAAGGTTGTTAAAAAAAGTTGTCAATGAGCGTTCTTCTCATGAAACATCATCATGTAAGGCGATCATCGAACAAATAAAATGGTTTGCTGGAACTCAGATACGAAATGTTGCATCTGTTGGTGGGAATATATGTACTGCAAGTCCGATTTCAGATTTAAATCCTCTTTGGATGGCTTCAAAAGCAAAGTTTAAAATCGTTGATTGTAATGGAAACTTTAGAACCACTTTAGCTGAAAATTTCTTTTTGGGGTATCGAAAAGTGGATTTGGGGAAAAACGAGATTCTTTATTCGGTTTTCCTTCCGTGGACTCGAAAGTTTGAGTATGTGAAAGAATTTAAACAGGCACACAGAAGAGAAGACGATATTGCCCTTGTAAATGCTGGAATGCGTGTTTTTCTTGAAGAAAAAGATCAGAAATGGGTTGTTTCTGATGCTTGTGTTGTTTATGGCGGTGTTGCTCCTGTTTCTTTATCAGTTGTAAAAACAAAAGCTTACCTAATCGGGAAGCCTTGGAATAAGGAAATGGTGGAAAATGCCATGGAAATCTTGAAACAGGATGTTGTGATTTCAGAAGATGCGCCAGGTGGCATGGTGGAGTTTCGTAAATCTTTAACTTTAAGTTTCTTTTTCAAATTCTTTTTGTGGGTATCTCACCAAATGAAAGGTCAAGATTTCTTTGAAGAACCCATACCCGTGTCCCATTTATCAGCTTTTGAGTCGTTTCATCGTCCATCCATAATCGGTAGTCAAGATTATGAAATTACAAAACAGGGAACTTCTGTGGGGTCCCCTGAAGTTCATATGTCAGCTAGACTTCAGGTAACGGGAGAGGCGGAGTACACAGATGACACCCCTATGCCACCTGGCGGTTTACATGCTGCTATGATATTAAGCAAGAACCCTCATGCTCGTTTGCTTTCGATTGATGATTCTGGTGCCAGATCATCACCTGGATTCGCCGGAATCTTTTTTGCCAAAGATATTCCGGGAGATAATGCCACCGGGCCTATTGTTGAAGATGAAGAAGTCTTTGCTTCTGATATTGTCACTTGTGTTGGCCAGGTAATCTAAGTAATACTTATTTCAAAATAAAGAAATCAGAATTGTATCTTGATTTACAAGTTATTCCCAAAATTTTGCAGGTTATAGGAGTGGTTGTTGCTGATACTCATGAAAATGCGAAATTTGCGGCAAGAAAAGTTGTCATTGAATATGAAGTTTTACCACCGATCTTATCCATAAAAGATGCTGTAAAATCCAAAAGTTTTTTTCCAAATTCGAATAGGATATTATGTAAAGGGGATGTTGATCTCTGTTTTGAGTCAAACCAATGTGATAAAATCATCGAGGGTGAGGTTCATGTTGGTGGCCAAGAACACTTCTATTTGGAGCCACAAAGTTCGTTCGTTTGGACCATGGATGGTGGCAATGAGGTTCACATGATCTCATCCACTCAAGTAAGATCACACTCTTCAGAGTTCTACAAACAAGATTTTTATTAATTTTCAAGATAGATTTTGATAAGAAACGATTAGGAAATAACTCAATCTTAATTTAACACTTGAAACGAATACAATTAGGGCCCCGATCTTTGATCATCAAGATACTCCAGAAATCTCCAACAAAACTGAAATCAAAACTTGCCTGCCTCCTAGGGCGGGCCCTTACCCCTATTTATTTAATCCTATCTATTAAAATAGGAAATTTCCAAATAAACATATAAACATCATATGACTGCTATAATCAAATAAAATATCTAATAAGAAATTAGTGAATGTTCCCTCTTATTTCTTCCTGGTATAGACATGGTCCCATCTCTCCAGATCTCCTAAACCGATTCATATCAATAACCCTCCTTGAAAATCCACCTCAAAGTGGTATTTCGGAAACTATTGTTGAATCTACGAATTATCTTCCCACATCATTGTCCAGTAAACCTTTTGTAATGAATGGAATACCACACCAATAGGCATGAGGGTTATCTTATATAAATACTAGAAAAATGATACAGTATACAATAAATCTAATAGTTTACATAAATATAAGCTAGGCTAATATCCCCCCTCAAGCAAGAGGCGGTGACCCAAGGCGCAACATGCGACGAAACTGCTCAAACTGCGGTCGAGGAAGACTCTTGGTGAAGATGTCAGCGACTTGAAGCTTGGTAGGAACAAACATGGTGACCAGTTTTCCGGATGCAACTAGCTCGCGAACAAAATGATAGTCAAGGTCAATGTGTTTAGCACGTTTGTGAGCGACTGGATTTTGAGTGAGAAATAATGCACTCTGATTATCACAAAGAAGTGTAGGACGGCCGGTGGGCAAAACATATAACTCTTGTAACAGATGAGTAATCCAAATAATTTCAGCTGCCGTGTTCGCCATGGCTCGATATTCAGACTCACAACTGGAGCGGGAAACTGTGGGTGTTTCTTAGCACTCCATGATACAAGATTACCCCCCAGGAATATCGAGTACCCATAAGTAGAGCGGCGAGTTTCAAGACATCGGGCCCAATCGGCATCAGAATAACCAACAATGGCAACAGACCGAGGGCGTGTGAAGGTGAGGCCAAACGATAGAGTACCCTTGACATAGCGAATAAGGCGTTTGACCGCCTGAAAATGAGCCTCGGTCGGAACAGCAAGAAACTGACTAAGTTGGTTAACCGCATAGGAAATGTCGGGGCGAGTAATGGTCAAATATTGCAGAGCGCCAACCAACGAGCGGAAGAGGGTGGGATCGGCAAAGGCAGGACCGTCACGAACCAAAACGGTATTGACAGCAAGAGGAGTAGGCACCGGTTTGGCATGAAGAAGACCGACACGTGAGACAATGTCATGAGCATACTTGGCCTGACACAGAAGCAGGCCACTAGAATGATGCACAGCTTCGAGGCCAAGAAAGTAATTTAGCCGCCCAAGATCTTTAATACAAAACTCAGCATGAAGACGAGAAATAAACGAGGATATGATAGCATCATCGAAGCCGGTGACAATCAAGTCATCAACATAGACCAACAAATAAATAATGCAGGAGTCTCGGCGAAACACAAATAGAGACGGATCAGCACGGCTACAAGTAAAACCATGTTGAACTAAAAACGAACTGAGACGATGAAACCATGCACGCGGTGCCTGTTTTAGACCATAAATAGCTTTATTAAGTTTGCACACATAGTCGGGATGGCAAGCATCCGCAAAGCCCTTGGGTTGGTGCATGAACACCGTGTCATCCAAGGTGCCGTGAAGGAAGGCATTGTTCACATCGAGTTGGCGCAACCGCCAACCATTAACAACGGCAAGAGTGATAACAACACGAACGGTAGCCGCCTTGACCACCGGACTAAACGTATGAGAGAAATGAAGACCCGAAACTTGACTAAATCCTTGCGCAACAAGGCAAGCTTTGTGGCGCTCAACCGTCCCATCCGCACGATACTTGGTGCGAAACAACCACCGGCAACCGACAATATTGGCATGAGACGGACGAGGAACGAGAGTCCACGTCTTATTTTGATGAAGAGCCGCAACCTCAGCATGCATGGCATCACGCCAATGAGAAATACACAAGACATCCGCATAAGACGAAGGCACCAGGGCAGAAAAAACCTGCGTAAACAAAGAGTGAGAATGTAAGTGTGCCAAATCAACCCGGTAACGCGACTTGAAGATCCCAGATTTTGCTCGTGTGGTCATCGGATGAGAGGGAGGTGGCATGCGAGGCGACAGAGGAGAATCCGACTCGAAATCAGGGCCCGATTCAACACCAGTATCAGGATCGGAGTCAGACTCGGACGACGAAGCATCAGAGGCGGATGATGGATCAGAGGCGGCACCCTGCGACGAGTCGGAATCAGACGGGAAAGTTGCCGGCGTCTGGGGCGGTACCGGATCAGTGCACACGGTGCAAGGGCGCGAAGTAGTCGGGCTGGAGACCTTGGGAGGAGGAGCAGGAACAGCGGTAGGAGGAACCACGAGGTCGACGGGCTCAGAACCAGCGACAAAGGACCGCAGCGGAAGAGACCCAATGTGGGCGGTAGTATGTGTGTCTCGAAACGGAAAACAGGATTCATCAAACCGGGCATGGCGGGTGACAAACACACGATTAGAAACCGGATCGAGACAAAGAAACCCCTTGTATTGCGAGTGATACCCAATAAAAACACACGGAATGCTCCGTGGTGATAGTTTATGATCCACATAGTCCCGCAAATATGGATAAACCCGACAACCTAGAATACGAAAATTGGCATAAATGGGGGCGCGATCAAATAAAACCTCAAATGGAGAGCGCATGGCCAACACCTTAGTGGGAAGACGATTAATTATGTGCACCGCGGTACTAAAAGCATGCGTCCAATAAGAGACCAGAAGATAGTCATGAAACATCATATCAAGGCCCATTTCCACAATATGGCGGTGTTTACGTTCGACCCGTCCGTTTTGTTGAGGCGTGTAAGGGCAAGAGATACGGTGAAAAATGCCATGGCTTTGTAACAAAGCCTTTACTTTATTGTTTAAAAATTCCGTACCCCCATCAGTTTGAAAAGTCTTGATTTTTGTAGAAAATTGTGTCTCAACAAAGGCCATAAATGTCGCAAAAACTCCATAAAAATCGGATTTATTTTTAAGTGGATAGAACCACGTGAAACACGAAAAGTCATCCATAAATGTAACATAATATCGATAGGAGGCAACCGAAACAACAGGAGATGGACCCCAAAGGTCACAATGAATTAAATCCAAGACCTTTGAGGCACGTTGGTCATTAATCTCAAAGGGCATACGATGAGACTTGGCAAGTTGACAAGGAGAACATACAACGGGTTTTGGTAAAATAGAAGAAACCATTACATGACCATCTTTATTCAATTTAGAAATAACATCAAAATTCACGTGCCCTAAACGGGAGTGCCATAATTCAAAAGATGCGGTGGGATGTTTAGTAGCAAACAACGAACAAGCCACCGGTTTATTGGGGAGAACATAAAGCCCGCGGTCATGCCTTCCTCGTGCTAGAATTTTCTTCGTGACCGGATCCTGAATAGAACATGAATTTTTCGAGAAAAGGACATCGAAATCATTATCAGAAGTCAACTTGCTAACAGATAATAAATTTTTAGTAAGTTTTGGGACAACTAAAACATCTCGCAATTTAATACGATTTGTGAGAGTAGAAGTCCCAATAGAGGTAATTGGAAGAGTTGTACCATTACCAAAATGAACCGAACCGTCGCCATGGAAAGGCTCGGATTGAGTGATCGAGCCCGAGGAGGAGACCATATGGTATGAGGCCCCGGAGTCAACATACCAATCCGGAGCGGGTGGAGTGACGCGACAATTCGCTAAAAACGCTTTCGTCAAGTCCCTTTCATTTGGAATAGAGTTAGATGCAAAAGTGGAAAGTCGAGGGTAAGCACTAGCAAAATGCCCATTTAGTCTACACAGTTGGCAATGAGGAGGCCGACGGCCGCGACCACGACCACCACGAAAAGCACCACGACCACCGGAGCCACCACCGCGACCCCGACCAACAGAAAATGCGGGAGCAGCCCCGCTAAGCGCTGAAACAGCGGAAAAGGCGACAGCAGGGGTGGGCTGCCCATGGATCGATTTGATGAACAATTCATGGCTTTCGGCTTGCGCAAGGAGATCCCGGAATGAGTGAATGATACGCGAGGTGCGAATCCCAATGGAAAAAGCTTCAAAACTGCCGCCGAGGCCACATAAAAACCAATGACATTTATCGGATTCATGAACGGCTTGACCAATAGCCGCTAGTTGGTCACAAATGGCCTTGAACTTGCGACCATAATCAGAAACAGGAGAGTCACCCTTGGAGAGAAGCTTAAGTTGGTCGCGTAGATTTTGAATCCGTTCCATGGAGGAGTTTCCATAGGTGGATTCGAGAGCAGTCCAGATGGCGCGGGCGGAGGAAAGACCCACGATTTCAGAAAAAACTTCCTCCATGAGGGAGGCTTGGAGGAGAAGAATTGTGCGTTGATCGTCGGCTTGCCATTCTGCAAAGGCCGGATTCTCAACTTGCTTGGCGTCCACGGTATGATGAGTGGGTGGAGCTTCCGAGGAGCCATCGACATGTGCAAGGAGATGTTGATAATTTAGGAGGGGAACCATTTGATTTACCCACAAAAGATAATTGGAAGAAGAGAGACGAATGGTGATGAGATGAATGAGGGTGTTCATCGGGAGGGTGGAGTCATTAGAGGAGCCGGCCATGGTGAGATCGCCGGAAACAATGGAGGAGTCGGTTATGAGGAGGGAGAGGAAGAGAGGGGTTGAAGGGCTCTTGATACCATGTAATGAATGGAATACCACACCAATAGGCATGGGAGTTATCTTATATAAATACTAGAAAAATGATACAGTATACACCCCTCAAGTATACAATAAATCTAATAGTTTACATAAATATAAGCTAGGCTAATACCTTTTCACTGGACCAAGATCTCCGTGACACCACCATTCTCTCATGTACCGTT